TTGTTTCCTTCAGATAGAATAAATAATTAATTTTAACAGTAACAATTCTATCCAATAACTAAAGAGCTATACAAAAATTTAGTCAATACTTCTGTCTCTAGTTTAATAAAGACACATTGATAAAAGTAAATTTTACTAGAAAATATATGTGAACAAGAATTTTTTACTATTTAAGAGATGTAAATTTTCCTTTGAATACAGTGGAAAGCGTAATGAGGCTAGTGCCACGGACATTAGAAGTCACATTCACCTAAATTCAACATCAAAAATGAAGGAACTGATAATAAATGAAAGCTGTTTTAGAAGCAGTTTCCTACTGAATATATGTCTGTGTCATGCAAATCCTTGATCAAAAGCAGCAACAGACATAGCTGACAGACAGTTCAACCTTGAAATCTAAACATAAAATTATCTAGAAAGAGGCAAAGTTTATGCTCAAGGAGCATACACCATGGAAATACAGACAGAAACATCATAGAATAATAATGCACATTTCCCAGCTGCTTAGGTAACATATAGAAAACAACAGGAAAGGAATGTTGTAGAAACATCTGGAGTGCTGCTGTACATTTATTGGATAAAGGGCAATAATACAGGCAAGAAAACTTCACAGTAATAAGCAATGAAACAAGAAGTAAAAGCTGATCCCTCAAAAAGTATTAGTTGGCAGAGTGAATGATAAATACAAACAAACACAATGGTTTTCATACTTGATCTGAAATAGTGGAGGGAGGTAAATGATAGAAATATCAATTGTGCACACTAAACAAATGAAGTCTTCTTTGTAAATTAAAAAGTATATTGAAGAATGTATTGCTAGTGATGGAAAGCTGGCATATACATGTTTGAAGTTCTTGCCCATATTTAAGAAGAATGACAGCTTCAAGCATTATATCAGGTAAGAGTCAATTAAAGCTCATTTTCAGATATACTGTGGGGAATGTTTTTTTTGCCTCTTAATTCTTGAGAATTTTGTTGATGTTTATATGTCTAATACTGTCCATATTCTTGAATGTGATAATTAAAACATTTTCATTTTGAGATGTAGAATAACATCCACAGAACTAGTGAGCTCAATGGCTAAAAGGATGTAGCAATCTGTCATCCTGCAGTGGAAGTTTAAAAGGTCATGTTACAACAGCAGATTTGTTTCTTTCACACAGAATGGTTAAAACTAAAAATTATGCTTTCAATTTCATGAAAGTAGTACATGGAAAGTATAGGCAATTTTCATTTTTCATGTGGACATTTTTTAATTGCTGCAGTGTTGGTGGGATTGCACTGCTGAAATGAAAAAAAAAAAATAAAAACCTAAAGTAACAAACAAAAAATTAGTTATAAACATATTTTATTTCTGATCAAATACCATTTTGTTAGCCTTTGAAAAAAATTGACATTTTATTTGCAGCTCTGTAACAGATATGAAAAAGAACCTTGATCTTAAGCTGTCTACGCAGTACTTAAAAATGAGACTTTTATTCATTAATCTTGTGTTTAAAATAGCCTACCTGGAGAACAGCCAGGCTTATTTCCTTTTCAAACCTGAGAAGACTTGAATCCATTTCATTTTTTTCCTAGGAGATTGTTCTAATTACTATACTGTTGTTACTGGGGGGCAGGCTCCTTTCAGTTGCTTCTATGCAAATGTTCCTCTTTGTATAAAATAACATATTAGTTAGAGCAAGAACCAAGACATATGTGAATTCCTTGACCATAAGCTTATAGACCTAGACCATATATGTTTCTAGCATATATAGACTTCCTGTTCTCAACTTAGCCATCCCCACCAGCTTTCTCCCGTCTGGTTTACCAGACTCTTAGAACCAGAAACATTGGTGGGAATTTGGGCCAAAATATTTGGGTATATGTGAAATTTCATTTTTGACAAAGGATTTTAGAATTTGAAAATTTAAAAAGTTTTTTTGTTTTTTTTTTTGTTTTTTTTTTTTTTTTTAAATATATAGAATTTCTGTGATGCCTTTTCTAAAGCATCATCCTTCAAAAAAAGACGACCAAGTTACATATGGGGTGTTCGATACTGGGAGAGTAGGTGATAGAAGTTTTCATCATTCCTTCTCAAAAACAGATTAAAGATTTTGATGTACTAGATTCATAAGTATTAAACTAAAATCAAGCTGTTCCTCAGGAAAACAAAACAAAAAGAAACAAAAAAAATAATAAAAAAACCAAAAGACCGAAAAACAAGAAAAAGACACAAAAAACCCACAAGCAAAAATCAGTCTACTTAGAAAAGCTGAATGTTGTGTATTAAAATTGAAAGAAAAATTTTACCTTCAGACCCTCGCAGCAAAAAAAGTGGCCTAAATTACCTGTCTTTCTCAATCAAGTCTTCTATTACCTTTAAAGGATTTTTTTGACTGAATTAAAAAAACAAATTCAAAAGAGATCTTCCTTTCAGCAGCAAGAGTAAGATCTGAGTTAAACTTCAGCTATGGTGGGGTTTCTATTGGGACATTTGAAAAGTCCACCTTGTCCACTACATGCATACTCCACAGAACATTCAACTATCATTATTATCTATTATTACACCAGGTAATATTTTATAACAGCATTCATGATTGAAGATCTAATATTTTCACATAACTCCAATGAACAATTATTCTTGTAAGAACAAATAGACATGGTACTTCTTAAAAAGACAAGAATAAAATAAAATTAAAAATCAGTCATCTGCTAGACAGCATTTTAATTTTCCCTGATAGCAAGTTAATGAAGGTTACAAAAAATTACAAACAATTTGCATTAATTTTAGAAATAAAAACCTTTGGAAAAGGAAAAGGAATAGGAAAAAGAAAAGGAAAGAACAACAGCGTAGAAAGAGTTGAATATTCCCAGCTGAGATGTCAACACTAAGAAAATAGCCTCCTCTGAAAAGTCTCTGATGGTGGTACTAACTTATCTCTCTAACAGCACATTTTTACCATTCCTTACAACACCAGAAAGTATTCATGAAGAATAAGGATGAATGTTAAGCTAGGATGTTAAGTAAAACATGGGCCCCAATTAAGTTAGTATCAGATATCAATCAATCTGTGAATAGCTAAGATATTACCTCTATGTGCTGATAACCACATCATCTAATTTTCTGAAACAGTGTTGAAAGGACTCCAAATTTCACAATTTACTTAACAAAATTCTTGATTCTATTATTATTATCTTGGTTCTAGCAGTGCCTTCGATGTAATTTGTACAGAAGCACTTCCATGAGGATAATGTCACGTGTATCATCTTGTTGAGAAACTACTTTTCAAACATTATAATTACAAACTGCATGATAAAAATTCCACCAAAATTCTGAGATCAATCAACTTAAATAATAATAAAGGGCATTTCTCTTTGCTGCTTAAGTAATGTTTGTACTACCATGTCTCTGCATTATGATTTGTCAAATATTAAGTAAAAATATCCAGGGTAATTAATATTAATATTAAGTAAAAAGTGATGCAGGGTAGTAAAACTGGAAGATACAGTTTTTCAATTCATGCCTGTTGTTTTATAATGCTCATGCATTAATTAATTATAATGCTCAATGCAGTAAGGATGCAATAAAAATCCTTTGCAATGGAAAATTAACTTTGATTTTCAAAAACTCAGGGTCACATTACAAGTTTCAATTTACTTCCTAGTTACGTAAACATACTAGTTATCTTTAAAAAATACAGTAGTCATTATGATAACGGACATCACCAAACTAATTGAAAAAATGCAACTATTTATAAACCAGAATGAAAGAACAGTTACTTCAGAAATTCACTGCTTCTGTTTGTTGCACTTCTGTTTACCTAATAGATTTTTGAGTCAAAACAAGTGAATACAATTATTTATTTTGGTCTATGAAGGGTACTCACTTTCTTATCAAGCATATGACTTCTAGTGAAGTAGATCATATTCAGAGACTAAAGAAGCTGTTTTAGATTTTCATTATGAAATTTTATCACCAAAGGAAGTGATCATGTAAATCTTTAATTGTTATGGAATTTTTACCAATCAGATAACATTTTATTTCTTAATAACTGGTTTCAGTTTCAACAGTTTTTTTGTTTGTCGTTAGTCAAAATCTATGAGTTTTATTGATGAACTCAAAAAAAATACCATAGCTCACAAACACTGACACCTGAAATGAGTAGAGTTCAGAATTTTCTAAAATCATTGTATTAATCAACAGTAGTATAATCAATATTGTTCTACCTACTATTAGTAGCGTGGACATTTATTCTAATAATCTGAGTATCTACTTGTGTTTCTGGCATACCATACCTAAAATCATTTAAGTATGGAAGTAGTAAACAAAGATTAATATAATCTATGCATAAAAATTTGATGATAATCTACAAATGCTGTATGGAATTCACTGTAGATACAATGCTAAATATAACCTATGCTAACATAAGTGCTACATTTTATGAGTGCAACACATATCTTGATAATTCCAGCAAATACTTCTGCTCTAATCAGAGGTTTGAATATGAACTCAGTGAACTAGAGCATTATGTTCCATGTAAAGGACAGTTTTATTCAGATGTGAAAAAAAGTCATTCTTTGTCATTTGTGAGAGCAATTTCCTCAACAAGTTATTACATTAACTTTCTTAGTAATTTTCTTTAGCGGCTTTCAAAGCAGCCTCAGAAATTCTGATATTTTTTTATATACAGTTAATAATTCACCCAAAATGGAATTGTCTGTCTTCCAACAATCAAAAAGAACTGAGATTTTCTATGGAACAATGTATTTTTTTCGGATGTTACTCCAGAAGGCAGCTGTAATTCTGATACTTTGCACTTATGTACTTCAAAACCATGGCTGTTTACTATCATAGACAAATTCACAAAAACACTGCAGTTCTTATTGGAGTCCAGCTTCAAATATCTGATTGTATTTCAAACAGCAACATTTTTCTTCTGTGGTTCCAACCTTCTAAAATCAAAGAGTTCTGTTGTTAACACACCCTCCCGTAAACCTAAAAATGGTAAGTGACCTACCTTAGAGAGTCCGCCTACTTCCAAATAGAAGCAGATAATGAAAACATTCCAGGTGACCCACAGGGCAGTCCACACCGTGTACTAAATACAAAGCCGGAAGAAAGCAAAAAGACAGAAAAATAAAATATGAAGATGAAAGGACTTCATACTGGGCAGATCAATAATTTTTTTAAAAACACTTGATATCAGTAAGCATTGTTCTTCTGGGACCAGTCAAGTGCAGACAGTTCTGAAAAGGAGTTCTCCCCACATAAGTCTCATAGGAATCACAGGAAATTACAAATCCAATAGCCTTTGTTGCTCTAAATGCATACTAATAAAATAGATTTAGTCTTTATGATTTTACACTATCCTACTGGTACCAATTAAATAAAAAACGCTGACTTTTGGAACAATGGCGAGTAACTCATGTTTTGGTTTAACAGATATTTCAGAATAGTATAATAATTTAAGTAGACCAAATTCTACAAACTATCATGAAGAAATACATACGAAAAAAAAAGAAAACACCAAACAGAAGATCTGTTGATCTGACATTTGGATCCTGATGGAAAATGAAAATTTTAAAGATTAGTCTGCTTTTTTAATAGTCTTTAAGTAGAAGATAATTTAATTAGATTATTATTTCAGCTGACTGTGCCTGATCCATTCATTTTCACAGAATCACAGAATCACTAAGGTTGGAAAAGACCTACAAGATCATCCAGTCCAACCATCCACCTATCACCAATGGTTCTCACTAAACCATATCCCTCAACACAACATCCAAACGTTCCTTGAACACCTCCAGGGAAGGGGACTCCACCACATCCCTGGGCAGCCCATTCCAGTGCCTATGGCAGCCCTTATGGCTGTGAACATGATGCCACACAATTTGGATATATCCAATTCTCTTCTAGGTTCTCCAGCTTTTTACCATAGTGCAGAAGTAACATACTCCACCCACGGCATAAATGGGAAATTTATCTGTCTGCTTTAAATCATCTTTTACGTGTGAATTGTCAGCATAATTGTCTGTCTCTGTTTCCTTATGGATAAGCTGTTTACCTATATATGACAGTAAAACTGTGCACAATTAACAATCCAAACAGCACAGCTCAGAAGCATTCACGTCTGACTAGCTAAGTGCATACTCAGTCACACTGGGGCTACAGTCACATAAAATCATAATGAGCAGTGGCACAGTCACTTAAAATTTATGTGCTTATAACCTTCGTAATTGAGAACTGCTGCTAAGTGGCTTTGCAAGTCTAATTAGCTGTAACCAGGTGAGGCTAATTTACTACTGTTTTCCTTCAATGTATTCAGAAATATTTAACACCCTAATGTGAACTGTGCCAGATTCCATTTCCATTCTATATGTGCTGTCAACTTGGCTTTGTTAGGCAGGTGTCAGTTATGTGCCTCTTTATGGTGTACACTGAAAAGTTCAACTGAAGAGGAATGAAGTTTTCCACACCTTGATTATCCTTACATGCATACGATGGTTTCTGACCACAGAACAGGTTAGCTGTGTAATTCAATTTTTATGAGGTATTTAGAATGTTTGGAGATCTCTGTGGCATAAGAAGGAGATCATTAATAAACAAAATGAGGGTATCGCTACTCTAGCACAGGGACAGGCAGGGTGGCAACTAAAGGTTGGGCTATTATAAAACAGGCAGATATTCTATGAGCTGTGAGCAGTATAGGATCTGTACTGTTCATGAGATCCACTTAAAAGAGGATATTCCACTTTATCCCATTTGCTGACTTTGTAGCAACTCATCATAAGCTCTGGATTTAGTGTCCAAAGAACATCAGGTGCAGAACACTCAAAATTAATGAATGTTTAACACAAAGCCAGCTATTGGGATTTCAGTATTATTTCAGGCACAACTGTTTATAAAAAGAAGATTTCTCAGCATTCAGGAGAATTCCATCTTTTTAAGAAATATTTTTTTTTGTCTGTGAGTGAAATTTATCATCACATTAACAATGGGAAACACACTCATTCTGCCAGGTTAAGACAAATCTGTTTAGGGTTTCTGGACTGCACAGATAAAAACCTACCTCAATGTGCTTTCCCAGGATAAGTTATTCTGTTTTACTAGCCTATTCTACTTATCCAGTAGTTAGTGAAAGAGAAATGCAAGGGCAAACCAGATGTGCACATCAAAACACAGACACTGTGCAAAGGAGAGGCTCCTCCAACACACTCTGAATAGCAGGAATTATAAATGTAGGCTCTGTTTTGCTGAAGAACTTAATAATTACATATTCCATAACTAGTTCTGTCATTTCTAAAGTAAGAAAGCAGTCCTTCATATTTGAAAACAGCTTTTCGATTATGCAAGTAGCATAACTTTCCTTATATAGCATCATAGGTGCTTAAGTGAGACTGTACTAACAGAGAAGTTTTAAGAAACAAAAGCAAGAAAACAGAATTAGAAACTGTCACAGTTCTGGTTATACATGCCACTTTAGTTTTTCTTTGTGGCTATGCAATAAAATGCAAACATTAATTAAATCATTAGGAATATATTTTTAAGAATCCTACATTACTCAATCACTGAATAACTAACTCAGTACTCCATCTCTCTTTGTCACTCAGACCCTGCTCCGAAGACAGAATATTAATATCCTCATGAGGTTTTCTGAGATGCTCTTCACTGTAATGTGAGAACTGTACAAGCATTAACTAATTTATTTTATGTTATAAGAGAATGATACAGCTCTCAGAATGCCAGTTATGTTCTGATACATGCGGAGATTACACTCAAATGTTCATACATTAAAGGCATCCAATGTAAGATGTTTTGAGATCTGTTTATTTTCAGAACACTAGGGTTTATGCAGCACTTCGTGAGCTCAGTGTTCAGCAACCACTGGCCTAGTACAGCATGTGTGTAAATCAGACCATGAGATCTCCAATCAAGAACCCAGAATGCAAGGGGAAAATAAAGCATGAGAGAAGTTTAATTTAAGAGACTTGCTTTGTGTAAAAAAAGGTTTTGCTGGTTGAGAGCAGAGATACAATTCAACTAGCCAGAGCAGCCTGCACAGCAAAAAGCAGTCCTTTTATTTCTCCAGCCACATACTTCATTCTTCCCACATGTTCTGTATGCAAATCAAGTTTGTATTCTATAGCTGCTATCACCAGAAAACCAAGGTGTCTGTCCTTTCTGCTAAAACTGAGGTGTCCCTATGATATCTTTATACACATTCAGTGCAGTTCAAAAGTTTTAGATCTGTTACGAAGAATTCTGCTTTGTGCCAGCAGTGAAAATGATGGCAGTGATGGTTTGTCATCCTCTGTGGGAAGGGCCACCGGGCTAGGAAGTGCCATGAAGGTGGTGAGACAGCCGCTGTCAGTGAAGGAGTGGTGAAGGACCTGAAACATCAGATCTGTGCTGGTCCACAGGACTCATTTCCCTTCCAGGGCACCTCCTTTATTCTGTTTCATGATCTGACCTGCCATCCAAGCTCTCCCACCCCATGTTCTGAACACTACCCTGATGGTCCTGCTGTGTCTGCATACACTTATCCCACTCACATCTAGGCATTCTTGCTCCCATTGTTTGGTTAGCCCCACCCAGTTCATCGTTGGCTCATCTGATCTTCTCAGCTTCAAAACCCCAATGAAAGAATCTTCCACACAGGATGAAGAAATGGGGAGAGCTGTGTTGTTGTTTTTGTGTGTGTGTTTATTTTATTTTTATTTATAGCCCACATCATGCATACCTAAAAATCATTTGGACACTATTGCCTAACAGATGCTTTCTGCTGACAAGATCCCAGAACATTGGTGGTAATTTCTGTTGGTTTATTCCTAGGACACAATGTATGCTTTCTCGTTTTTGTCCTTTTGCACTGCGGATTAGATACTGTAGGAGATGAGGAAGCATTTGGGGGCCTATAAGGAGAGAATATTCCCTAAACATTAAAGGTTATATTTCTGTCCGTCCTTTCAAATCCCCTTTCATAATGCCAGACTCTATAACAGTGGTACTTTTATACCTCTTTTAGCTCTGCAAGTCATTTAATCATTTAGTGAGAACTATTGGTGATAGGTGGACAATTAGACTGAATGATCTTGTAGGTCTTTTCCAACCTTGGTGATTCTATGATTTCATACATGACTGCTTTGAGAGTTAAACATTTGTTGTTGGATGGACACAATGCCACAGAGAAAAAGGAAAGATATGAAGGATGGCTTGTTAAATTGAAAGGTAAGAGAGAAAGGGGAAATTTGTAAGTCTGAACATTGCAAGTGTTGTGGGGTAATTTTAGTTCAGGTGTACAAAGTATCTCAAGTGTGCATTTAATATAACTGCAGTACCTCCTCTGACATAGTTCACTAGGAGAAATGTATGGTGGCCCATGGATGTGCAAAAGGAAAGGCAGCAACTAGTCAGTCATCAGATCTTTTTCCTGTAATAGCTGTCTGTACCTCAGATGCACCAGGACTCACAGAGCCCTAGTAAGTCATATTTGGGGAAGACGACAAGGAAAGGGGCATAAATCAACAGGGTGGAGCAGTAATAACACAGGACTTATGCAATTTTGGATGCTTAAATATTTCACACACATTGTGATACTACACAGTATATACTTGAATACTGTGTAAAGCAGGTAAAACAATCCCATATATGGTCCAGCTGTTCTTCTGATTCGAAGAAAATGCATTTTGGCTTTTCGGGCGTACACATTGCCTATATATCATATCATATCATTTAGTGGAATAAATCAAGGTGAATAAAGCAGAGATTTCCACTTCATATTTCCCCTATTTGAGTGTATTATTGTCATCTCTCACTGTTCATTAATACATTAAGCTTTGGGCCAGGTTTGTGCAATTTTAGCTATATGACTCATTGTTCGGAAGGCTTTGGAAGTTCCATATCAGGGGGAAAAAAACAACTTTAACAAGTATCCTGTTATCATTTTTAATCAATTTTAACACCCTGAAAATCTTGCTGGTGATAGCAAGTTCTATCAAAAAAGGAAAAGTATGCATAGGGAAAAGGGTCACAGCAAAATGCCTGAGCTGAGTGACTGGTGTATTACACTGCAGTTAGAACTCAGATTTAGATGTTTTTCCTTCTTTGCAAATATTTCGTATGTTCTGAATCAGCTAATATATGAATATTAAGAATTAGCTCAGCACTATTTTATCTCCTGGGAACTTTTCACTGACATAACTTAGCTACAAAATATCCAAATATTGAAAATAACACATCTGCTTAATGACAGGACAAATGGTTCAGAACAATTCATCTAAATTAGAAAATAATAATAAAAAACCCTAGTAGTAATCATTATATTTAAACTAATTAGGACATTTGGGGTTAGTGCTATTTTTTCCTCTTTTTTTTTTTTTCCCAAGCTTCTCTGAGAATTCAGAATTTTACACACAAGCAAGTGAAATTCCAGATTTATTTCAGAATCACCATCCTTATTGTCCTGTATGTGAAATTCTGTAGAATAAGAATGTCAAACACTACTTCTTCTACTTGGAATTACAACAGCATTTGATAGCAGTGCTTCAAGAGTCAGCCATTATGTTGCAGTTCTGCCCAAATTTTATATCATTCAAGCTAAGAAATAAAAGTAATTTCTTTATTCAGACTTTTACTTCAAAATACTTACACTCATGTAAAATAAATTTCTACAGCTTACGTAGTCATTAAATGCCAGTGTTAAACTAACTAGCCTGGCCTTAATGAGAGTGGGAGAGTTAGAAGCATCCAACTGCTTCTGTGTTTATTCAGCTTTTAGTGCAGTCCTCACGGAGATCAATGGCTCTGAATGCCTGCACCAACAACAGCCTGCTCAGTTGTGACTGCAGAACTGTAGTCTGTCCCCAGAGCTCCTCAGCTTAATTCAAGGTCTCTACCAGAGTGTGACAGAATATCATAGGGACAGTTTATCCACGCATGCATCAAATCAATTTTCTGTAGCCAGTTTACAGAAGTAAACTGTTGTATCTAACATGATTCTTTCATTACTTCAGTGTTTGGTGTTCTGCTGGCAGCATATGAACTAGCAAACCCGATTTTCAGGGAAGTGTGAAGGAAAAGACAACGGATACCAAAAATACTTTTCCTGAAGTATTTAGTTACTCTTCCAGTTAAAGTGGATTTAGCTTAATCTAAACCAGAAACATCAATAGTCAGAGTACATTAAAAAAACATATTTCTTTCAATATTTTTCTTTTCCCAAAACTCACAGAAGCAAGCTCTCACTCTAGCGCGGAACATCAACATGAACATACTCAGGGGCTTTGACCTGGCTGAAAGTGCAGATACGGTCTTGGAAGCCCATGAAGCTTCTCAGTGAATTTGGAGCACAGTTCACTTCTCAGCCTGGGTAGGAATCTCTCTGCACACCATGCTTAACACATTCTGAAATTCAGGACCCCGCTGAAGATTTGAATTAAGCAGACCTTACATTTGAAGCCAGTGGTAAAAACTTATTGCTGTAACAGGTAGAACACAGTTTCATGGTATTTCAGAAATAGGAGGGAGGCAGTATGAGTCCTTCCATGGGAAAGACGCCTTCAGATTCCTCTTTGCTTTTGAGATGGCTCTTGTAGGGCTTTCTGCTGTCCATACTGTGGATTCCTGTTGTGCTGTTGCTGCTGGGAAAGCCCTGATGTAGTTGACTAAGCCCTAGAAAGCACAGCTTCTGAAGAATCTGTTATTGGAATATCCTCAGGCTATAGCTCAATGAGCAATTTAAGCTGGTTTGATAGTTTATCAAATGTCTGAACACTTGTACTGGTGCAAAGTATAGATCAACACAGGGACTGAAAGTAGGAACTGAGCAAAAAGATGATTATGAATTATTATTATATATTATATATTGTATCATAATATATAATATTGTATCTTAATATAAATTATATTATATAAATTACATAAATCACATAAATTACATAATATATAATATATAATATATAATACATAATATGTTATATGTTATATGTTACATTAATAAACAATATATGATAATTGTATCTCTATATATTGTTGTGTTAATATATTATATACATAATAAATACATATTATAATTATAGCATATAACATATAATGTATATTATGTCTATTATTATATAGCCTAAAACCTTCGTTTACATTGGAAAAGACTCAGAAGCAGTCAGCATCTGTTGTGCTTCATTCTGACAGCAAAAGCAGAACTTCTATGTCTGAAAAGCAGAACTGAACCCGAAGGGCAAGAGATGTGTGTGGTTGCACTTTACACACCAATTTCTTATGTAATTTTACAGATGCTTACCCTCACTTGCTTTCTTTGCCTCATATACGAAATGGAGAACATGAAGCAGAAAGGTCACCAGTATTTGTATGTACATACACTGCTGCCCAATTCTCCAATGGCAGGTATTAGATAACAGTACTATTAAACACATCAATCCATTTTCATTTTTTTATAGGCTGCTCTTGAAGATTAGGGAATGTAAAGAACCTCAGCATACCTTGAGTGTACTTTTTGTTCACTTCTTCTTTTAAGAAATGACATGACAAAAATTACAGGATTTCAGGCTTGACTAGAAGAGGTGAAGCTTTTTAAGCATTAGTTTAATGAGCCTTCTCTAGCAGACATTTATTTCACTCTTTTGTGAGAAAAAAAAACAAACAACTTGAGCCTCTTAAAATCCATTACTGGAAACACAACTGAAATATTCCAGATACAGACACCATCAACTAGAGATGTAATAATCATCCATTCAGGTGAAACTTATAGGGAAGTGAGAGGGATACTTCTGATGGCTGTTTCCTTCAAAGCTTTGAAAAGTATTTTTATTCCTGGTTATGTCGTGAACACAGGAAGATATCTATAAAGCTTCAAGTTACAAGCATCAGAGAAAATTCACAGCTATTTGGGGTGAAGGTGGTAAATACAGGGATTGGTGAAGTTATATGCAAGTAAGAGAAGATTTCTTTGTAAATAATGGGTCATAGAACCAAAGAAATTTCTTTAATATTTGCTTCTGCCTATTTAAGAAGAAGGTGCATCTAAATATGACCTATTAATTTTTTTTTCAATGGCTGTTGATTCTGATTGCAAAGTTGAAAACAATTTTTATTTCTTTTCTTTATTTAATTTATCTAGAACTAAACTGTAGATGTTCCCCTACTTAACCAGGTATCTACTTCTGTACATAGAATTATTAAGAGCTTGTATCACTGTCATATGTCTGCAGTGTTTTCTCTAGGTTATTCTTAGATCTTCCAAAATTTCAGAAATGCCACTAGTCCTCAATTTTCAAAAAAAAACTTGAGACATTCAAAGTTTCTACAGAAACAACATTTGGTGTTTTCACATCAAGAAAATTATGTTTTGTAATGGGACAAGATTTAAAACCAATTGCAAAAAATAAGAGATAATAAATGAGACTTACCACAACTATATATCGAGGCCTAAACTGGATGGTTCCAAATAAACCCAAAATTACTACTATTATTTGTAAGAAATTGCCAAGGATAGGAGCCCATTGGAAACCAAGGAAGTCGAAGATCTGTCTCTCTAATGCTGCCAGCTGTAAGAAAACACATAAAGAGAACATCTGCTTTTTAATTATGTGTGAGAGAGAACATTTTTCAGTTTTCATTTGTTATTTGTACCAGGCTTAATCAAACTGAAGTATAGCAAAATTCTGGAATGTGTATTTCCTGCATGCAGCCCATGTCAAGTGTTGTCAATATGCTGCTATCTGTCTGAAGATAGCTACTAGTCACCGTACAGATCTCCTAACACAAAAGCTCTTGAGAAAAATAAACATATAAAACTTTAAGAAACTAGTTATAAAGCCTCCATATAAAACTAGCTTTACAAACCAATCACAGAGAAGTTTTATTTTCTCCTCATATGCTGGAAAATACAAGGCTTAACAATATTCATTTAAATACAACATTTGTTTTATATAGAGGCTCACGAAGATTGGGCAAAGTTACGTGAACCTTACTATTGTTTCTGAATTGACATCATGCTCTCTTCTTCCCTACATTCTTGCTTTCTTGTATTTAGTCCCAGCTAGACTTTACTGTAAATTCCTCAGTCTCTTTCTTAAAGGAGAGAGATTTGGGCCAAAAAGGACCAGGATACAGGCTTTGAGAAAAAAAGGGTATAGAAAACCTTGGAATAAACTGTTCCAGAGCCAGATGATCTACCTGAATGCTTCCAAATGCTGCTAAGCTGTTTGGGGCAACTGTAATTCAAAAAGATGCAGTGGCAGCCCATCAGCTCTCTTATTGTATTTTGGAAGCGGACTTTTGGGGGCATAAAAGTGGAAGAAGCTGAGAAGCATTAACCTTCACTCCTACATCAGTATATGGTTTTCAGGTATTTCTGCACTTCTGAAAACCTAGTGAAAAATAATTAAAAAAAAGCAACAAAACAGAATTCTCTTCTTGCTCAGCTCCTGCAACAATTTATGAACATCTCACTAGTAATGTCAGCTTTATGATTCCTCTGCAAGCCCATTCTCTACTCATTCTTGACAATCTAGCCTATTGCACTAAAGATACAAAAATCAGCTTTCCTGGCAGCAGAATTATTGAAGTTTAAACTTGGTTCAATATTTTTCCAATCATAGTGATACTTAGCAGCCAAACAGAACTCTACTGAGCAACAACCGACTTTCTGTGCTTGTCAGAATTTTTCTACGCATCTACTTGATTTTACTGATTTTACTACATTGTTGAAAACCCCAAATTTTACTGAAATATGCACTTGTAATATTTATACCTGAAACAGAAGGAGTAAGCATGGCCCTATGAATACCAATCAAAGTACTATCATATATGGGCATCTGACATAAAACATTACAATTTTCACATAATAGCCATATTCAGTCCTCACTTACAAGATGGGGCTGTGTGTACTTGAGAGAGAAATCGGTCCTTACAGTACAAAAATCATCCCATATGTAAGTCATGAAAAAGGTCTGTATGCTGAGGTTAATAAACATGATAAATGTTAACAATTAAAACAAACAAAGGTTGAACCATAAACCTGGTGTTTATCAATCAGTGAATTTATTCTGACTTTTATCAGCTAACCATCTGGCACGGTATCCAGAACATGAAAAATTATCATGCAGCACACAATATTTAAATGTTATCCTTTTGAATGTGTGTGATACTCATCTTTCTCGTGCTGCAGGTAAGAGAGAACAACAGAAGGAACACTGCTGCTTGGGGGAAGCTGTTGGCTCATGTGGCATTAGCTATCTACCTTACTACCACTCTACCCTCTCTTCTATTAACTCATTGACCTGTACCATATCAATCAAAAAAAAAAAAATTTATCCCTTATGTATGGAAAAAAAACTACAGGTGTTAATGGATGAATCCAGAAAATGACATATTTGCATGGACCTCTCAAATGGAATTTCAGTGTATGAAGTCCTAAGGGTGAATTTTTCACTTACATGGAAGTATGTGGGCTTCCTAACCAGAACACAACAGTAACCATGGTGTTACTCTCACCATGTCTTCCCTTTGTAGTAGTTTCAGGGGCATTACAATAAGGTCCTGTTTGAGACTTCACTACTGAAACCTCAGAATCACTTGCTCTTTCTAATGCAATTCAGATGTCCTCACTTTGACAATACCTTTGTCAGTAGCTTTTTTAAACCACGGAACACATCACAAGACACAGCAGAAAGGTGCTTTAAATCTCACGAGAGATTATTGTAGACAGTTTCAAAAACTCTCTGCCTCTTTGGCACCTGGATAGTGATGCCAGATCAGACTCAAAGCTGCTCATAAACCAACCTTGTGCTGATATTAACTGAAACTGTCATGTAACAAAGTCTATGTTTTCACCCAGACTAATAAATGGAAAGTGTCCTGCAATGCTCCCAAGATAGAAAGCAGCTATCTTAGGATTGTCCCCTTGCCTCCAGAGACCTTGTCTCTGAAATAGGGCAGCTGTGTGCAAACTATACATATCTACCTACCCAAAAGAGTTTGTTGGCCATGGCTGCACTGTTTGGTGAGACTGCTGGACAAAACGAGCTTAGTAAACATGAAAGAGAACTCAGTTTGCTAGCATCCACAATAGCATGCCACTGTCTGGCTTCTTCCTCAGGCACAGGTGAAATTCCTGGTATAGTGAGCATATGGCTCAGCCAGAGTGGGGACTGAGAAAAGTCATTACCCACAGATGGCACGCTGCAAGAGATGGATGCTGTGCACTCTCAGACATTTTATGTGGTGCTGAAACATGTAGAGCGGTGTGAAAGACAAAAGCCTGCAGCACAGATAGAAATAAAGTTATTTAGTATGTGTCCCTTAACGCAGTCCTTGGGAGCAATCTTTCAGAGGCTTGTTGATCAGTGCCTTAAATGCCTGAAAGACATAGTACTGCAATGGCAACAAACACAGCCACCATGTTTTGCCAACAGACCCATGTTAACAGGCTTGCTACTCAGCTCATGCCTAAACTGGATCAGAAACATAGTTTGCCTTAAGGTGTACCTCCACAGTATCTGTCAAGCAAGCTCTGAGCTACACCTGGCAGAACTGGGCTCCCTCAAAACAGGGTAGTGGTCAGAAGCATCTCCCAAATGGAGGTGTACAAATGTGTATGCACCATAGGTATACACACGCATACAAAAAACAATTAGCCTTTTTGTTGACTACTGTGATAAAGGCATTTACCACAAACAGAGAAATAAGTTTCAGTTTACTTTTCCGACATCTACCAAGATATTCATCCATTTCTCCCCTCCTACCATATTAGATACTAGAATGGAGAACTTCTTTTTAAAGCTGCGTTACCACCAAAAAAAGAAAAAATACAAAAAAAATAAATAAATAACATTTCCTAAGTCCAAAAGAGAGCAGAAGCAGAAATACAGCCAACTACTTAGAGCACTTATCTGGCACTGGGAGAATTGCTTGTATTTCTTGCCTGCAGGGCTCTTTATTTTTATATACAATGACAGCAGGTAAAACAGGAGTCCTGGGAGCAGAATGCCAAGTATACAGCAACAGTCCTTCCTCACTAACAAGTGCTTTTGCCATTGGGCTGTGCAGTAAGTCTTGCCTGTGCAGCTAGGTCACATTTACTTTCTTCTTGTTATCAACATGGGGTAATTTTTCTCACCCTGACAACCCACAGAATATATTAGCAGGGAGAATCTAAAGAAAAGATAGAGACAGAGGTATGTACATCCTGTTCAAATTACCACTCTATTCTAAGTTACAAAAATCTTCTTAGATTCAGTACGGATAGCAGTTAAAAAAAAAAAAATAATAATAATTCAGGATTATGGCAGGGGAAATACATTTTGTTCTGATTTCTTTATACTACTAAATAGAGATATTATATACGTGCTGCTGTTCTTATTAGTACAGTATACCCAAAACAATTCCCAAGCAGAGGTAAAGAGTACAGACTTTTTAGCTCTGTGAAAATGACAAAAAGCAGATTTTATACTGGCCTATGATTTAGGTAATTTACTACACACATACACACACAAAACAGTATAGAGGGTGGGGAACAGGCGCTCAATTTCGAACTATTTTTGCACAGATAAGAGAAGTCAGTACTCTGCAAGGGTCCAGAATCTCAGTAACAACAAGTGACTGCCTCAGCCTTGTGACAGATAGGAGATGACACTATGACAAAGATGTCCAAGTAAGAACATGGAGCTTTGGGCATGTGATTGCTTTGAAATGTTTTACCAAAAACATTTTGCTAACAAAGGCGCTCTGTTTCTGAAAGAGAAACTTTCTCAACAGAAATTCTGTTTTCATCACCATTTTCATCTCTCTTTCTCTTTCAAGAGAAAGAAACAGATAAACCTTGAAGGCAAGCCAGAGGTTTCCATAATAACTTGGCTCAACTTCTCCCATGGAACATCGCTAAAAACTTAGGAGGGCAGAGGAGCTGAAGATTGACAAAATGGGTGTGCTCGATGTGGGAGTTTTCTGGTTACCAGAAAGAGACAAAGAGATCATAACACTTTTCAAACAGGTACTTGTTTCAACTGGCACCAGTGACATTTAAGACAACAAAGTTCAGGAGATTCCTTTAGAAACTGTGATGATTAACAATAAAAGTGGAAAGAAACTCCAGACCTTTCCCGCAAACAAAAGAGGGTTTCAGTTTTAGTAAACTAAAAACTGTTTTTAAATGAAACTTATATACTTTTGTATTAAAAAAATGTTCATGAGAACTTTTAAAAATCCAAAGTTGATAGGAAATAACATCTTCTTATCATATCAACAGGAAAAGCAAATGTAGTATTTCATACTACTGCTGCCAGGGGAGTGCTTTGTTATTTAGCCAGCATCAGCACTGACAATCTTGTGGTGTGAAGTGCACAAGTCAGGAGACCAGTGCTAGCAGTAAAATGCTCCAGTGGGACTCTGCCAGATCACTTAATGAAGATGTGATGCATGTTTCCTGTTCTTTTACCTCTTTCTTTTGCTATCTCTATTAAACATTCCCTCTTTCTTTAATAAATGGAGAACTTAATAAACTACAAGACTGGGCTGCATTAAAGACTTCTAGGCTGAGCTTTTT